AAGCAATAAAACATAAATTTTAATATAGTATATAGGAAATATTTATACAATATATTGACAATAAAATATAAAAAATGTATATATGATATATTTATCCTCTTCAGAATTTGCTGAAAGTGTTTTTATACACCTAAGTGCAGTGTTGTATATCCGTTTTATATTTAATCCTAGCGTCGCTAACATTTCCAAGAAAATCCGGAAATGCTTTGATGTAATGCAATGTGAAGTCAGTAATATTTTGGGCTCAATATTGTTTTTATACTTTACGCTGTGTTTATATGCAGCTATACTCGTCTTCTATTTGTACTACCAGTATATACTTGGTTGTATATGTTGGATCCATTATCTTTACATTTGACTTGATAAACCACATAGTGTTTATCCATAGTATTAATCTTCGATTTGACATTCGAGTATAGCTTCGTTGTGTTTTGTGTCCTATATGTTTTTTTATCCAAAAGTCAAGAGACGTTTACTACACTCTTATAAATTTGCATATTCTAAATAAATTGCTCTAGTTCTTTTTAGTTCTAAGATTTTATGGGTCACTGGGTTAGAGTATATCAAACAAAACTGTCATGTGAAGCTGTCATATGCAACCTATAGTCTGTCATTTTATAAAATAGTTCGTAATTGATTGTCTTCAGGGGAATACTGTTCGGTATTAAGAAGTTTTTGACACTTCTTCTTACCAAAAAAATGTTCTATTTATCAAAATCCAACAAATGTTTCATCTCTCAAATTGTATGTTGAAATACATCGTATAAGATTTAAAATAAAATTTGATTAATTAAATTTCAATTAATTTAATAACAAATTTATATAATATTAATTGCATTTATTTTAATATAACTTCCTCATATATGGTTTAGTTGATTTCTTTATTTAATTACTATTAACATTAAGTTAAATTTTACATAAAAACTTATACCATAATATCTTTATGATCACAGACCATTCATTTTGCTCTTCATATATGCATTAAAGAGAATCAGTTTCAATGCTTTTTCATGACATAAAAATAAAATACAAACCTCGTAAACATTAAATAAACTGAGTTCAAGCATATCATTATAAAAATTAATAACAAAAATGACATTTACATTTTACATAAATTAATCTGACGTTAAAGAGCGTAAAATTAAATTTATCAACTTCGAACAGCAGATATAATTCAGTTAAATTATTATTTGCATAAAAATGGTTAAATTTACGCAAAGTAACTCTGAGATACAAGCGCCTACAAAAACTGCGATTGCCCATATGCATTTTATTAAAAGGCAAAAAAGTCTACTCTTACATTTACACAAATATTTTAAAATAATGGAGGACGTAGCGTAAAATTGAGGAATGTTTGTCCATTTGCTCCTGGCTCCTGGCTCCTTTTTTATGATGTGAAAAGTTTAATTTTTTCTCTGTGTATTTCCTTTAGAGTGTAGCAAGCAAAAAATAAATAAATAAAATTAAATAAAATAAAATTTGCATACAATAAAAATGTATCGTTTCATGAAATCTCCACCAGCAAAAGTTTTTCGTTCAGGTTTTTTACTGTGCGGTACACGTCAGTATCCAAAGTTTTCACCGTTTTGGGTTGTTACTTGTTGGTAGTATTAATTGCAAGTTTAATTACATTTTTTAACTTGCTTACAAAAAAAAAAAATTACAAAAATGGATAAATGAAAATATATTGAAATATATCTGCAACAGTTCACTTGCAGCAATTAATTAATATTAAATTCAAAAGGTATTATTTAATGAAAGTTCATGAATTTTCCGTAAATGTAATAAGTCCTGCAGCAAATTAATTTTAATATTTCAAAATTAATTTATAATTTTATATCAATAATATATTAAATAGTTTTTATAAATTTTGTATTATCTTTTGTATTAAATTTTGTATTTTTAGCAAAAAAAACTTACCAGTAATAAAAATTAATTATATCATTGTATTTTTAACATCATTTTAAATTAATTGGTAATCTGTTTATTTTTTATAAAATAATAATATTCTTAGCCAATTTTATTACTTAAATAAATTAAAATTTGTCATTTTAGATCATAATAGCTAATTTATCTTTAATTTTTATGTGTATATTTTATTTCAACATGAAAGTAAACGTCACTTCAATCACACATATCCTTTAATCTATCTGTCATACTGTTGGTTGGTTGGTTGATTGTAGTGGCAGGCCATTATGTTACTTCAAATGTACCTTAATTAGTGATTTTCGGCGTTTTGTTACCACATTCCTCGCAAGAACTTTAGAAGAGAAGAGTGGAGACTAAATCCATCCCTCCGAATTTAGGTTATTTAATAGGTCTTTCATCTTCATCGTTGAGTAGTCTGATAAACTATCACAGAAGTATTTTCCTAAGAACCTATATCTTCTGGACGCTAAGGCCGGACATTCACAGAGAAAATGTATTATTGTTTCTTTCTCCTGCTTGTTTCCACGACTTCTGCAGTGGGGGTTATAGGGGATACGTAGTTTCTCTGCGTGAGTTCTGTTATTAGCAAGTTGTAGAAAGTAGAGGAAGGTACTTCTTTTAATGGTCTCCAGGGTAATAAAAACTGGTACCACCAGTGACGCATCTAGGGAGGTACCAGAGCGTGCTAAACTTGCAGTTTTCTTGTTCCCCACGATGTTCCTATGTCCAGGAACCCGTCATACTGTTAATACGCAAATATTTAATTCAAACAAATTCTTAAGTCAGAATGTCAAAACAAACTTTGCCACAGACGAAAAAACATGTCCAAAAAAACTATATATCTCGGTAAACTAAATAAAGAAATAGATCAATGAGATCATCGACTAAATTTGTGCTTGGGGACTGACTATATGCAAATCCAGTAAAGTCAAGTGAAGATCTGAATAGAATTGCCTACTCTGAGTTATGTATTCCAGAAATGAGCTTTGAGTCTTAGCTTACTGTATATAAACATGTATGATTAATAATGTATTAATAGTACAACAAAAACAATGTTATAACTAATATTAGTTAATCGGCTCTTTCACCTAAACACGCAATCATTACTCAATTTAACTTAAATATAGAATGTAGTTTTTTTAAGATTTCTAGATATTTGCATAAAGTACATTTCGTGCTTGTAGCATTAACAGACTAATACTAATTAATAGACTTATTAAAAGAAAGTCTTTTAATTGTGATCCCAAGTGCAATAACGTTTAACTTAACTCAATTGTAATGATTAACTTTTAGATGTCTTATTCTTAGATATCTTAGTTGACAGCACTATTTCTAGTAGCTGATGACTAACTGATTTATATTATTTAGTATTTTTTGCCAATTCGACAATAATAACTAGACGTAGAGTAATAGAGGTCTAGATTTTTTAACAACACTGCCCTTCAAAATGTCACAGTCAATGGGAATCGTTATGATCCGTAGTTAAAAATTGAGGATATATCTGGAATATAGTATACTTATTATATTATTGTTATTGTACTTGCAATTTGAGTCCATCAAGTCATTCCGTATGCTCTATTGCAAAAAAATTGTAATCAAACATTAAAAGCATAAACTATTGTTGCAATAAAGTTGTTTTTATACTCTTTACTATGATTTAATATATTTTATTGTGGTTTGAAACCAAAATTCTAAAGAAGGTTTTTTATATATATTTTACATTTATACTATATATATGTATATATATACTATATATGTGCTCACTCATTATATCAAAGTCAAATTGCAACTATAACTGATTTCACATAAAAAACAATTTTCTTTAATATTTTCTACAAAACTTCAAATTCACTTGATTCACTCTTTAAGTTATTGTTGTTATTGTAGTCGTTGCATAAAACGAATGAAAATGAAAATTTATCATGGTCTTCTTTTCCATTTTCTCCATTAAAAGTTTAAAGCAAAATTCTACAATATGTTGTCGTTATTTACATAGAAATATCTTAATATAAATCTCAAAATTAAGACTTTCACGGTTTAATTTTTTAAATGTTATCTTCAAAATAAAAACATTAATTGCAGTCTCTAATCCCTTCACCATTTCCTGAACTGCTTTCCTTTCATCTGCAACTCACTATCAAAATCTAAGCCCATGAAAGGTATAAACAAAACCAAAAATGGCGTACCAAAAATTGATGTCTTTCATTAGCTTCAAGCATTTTCTAGAGTAACACTTTTACCAAGAATTTTGGCCCTATTCTTCTCTTGCAATTGCCACTTCCACAAAATTAACTGCGCCTCCTACTCTACTCTACTATTATGGCTCACAATTCAAGCCGCCCGATTAAAGATAAAATGTACCCGAAAAAATAAAAAACACTCAGTAAAAGTGTAAGAGCATAAAAGTTTAGTAGTCAAACACTAAAAATATAAAAAATAAAATAAAATAAAATTTTCCTGTTTGTTTTTTCGGAAAATTTTACTTGTAACTCTTTTCATGGTGATTTTGTGAAAACTTTACAAGCGCCAATAAAAGCTCTTGAGACTTTTGTTTGTACCACCATTAACTCTAAAATGAAAGAGGTAATTTGCCCGAAGAAGTTGAAACAAAAGTATATTGTTACCTATTTTAAATAGGTTTTACTTAACCGGGAAGAGGTTAAAATTAAAAGCAATAAATTTCAAAATTTAACGCTCTTT